AACGTGCATTCTGGTTTACAAATTCTAAGATTTTTAATGAGGACCTAAAAGCTCTTTGGAGAAGGAAAGGAGGGAAGATTAATTACTGAAATAATGATGTCATAAATTCAAAGAGTAATACTTAGTATATTTCTAAGAATAATTAGTGCTTCCCCAATGAAAGAAATGTGAAAGAAATGACATAACTGTAGAAATTTAAAAGGAGCATAATAAAAAACATACAAGGAAACAGTAGAATGATGGATAAAGAGTTAGTATCATAAAGCACAAAGTGCTTATAAAGTCAGTATGTGATGGGGTCAGGCAAGTGATGTAATGGGTGAGTTGCGCACATGCAGTAGACTTGGGTGAGTAGGAATTTTGTTGGACTCAGGAGCACAAACCCTTTGGAAGGAAGCAGCTGCTACTCAGCTGTGTCTTATAAAGGATTAAGGATTATGGGCCTGGTATTTCTAGATCTGATTTTTGTTTTCAAGAGTAGCCAGAAATTCAGATTTTAATATGAAATCTGCTAATCTTTGTAAGTTGACTTTTTTTTAAAGCACCATGTGAACCAAACAATATATCTGAGAGCTAGATTTGGCCCACACATTGCCAGATTGTTACCTATCTTATACAACTGGAGAAGACCGCCAAGATCCCAAAAGTAAAATCAGCCAGCGGCGTAAATATACCAGTGTCCCCAAGAACTATTAATATAACTACAAAATAGGAAGAATTTCAGTCTTGCTGGTAATTAAAGAAGTGTAAATTAAAATAAAATATTATTTTATACCTCTCAAACTAGAAAACGATAAAGCAGTATAGTCCGAGTTACAGGGTAGCAGGTGTAATTATTTATTTTAAATTTATAATACTGTTGTGTAGGTGAGCAACTACAGTCACCATCAACTGTGAATATTAATGTGGATAATTTTGAAATAGATGGAAATAATTGCTACATTAGGGTAATAGTATAAATGAAACTAGTATAAGTAAATAAAAACAATGTTTGCCAGTTTAAACGGTATGTAATAATTGAAAACTAGACTATTCAAGGACTACTTGTAAAAATTGAAGGACCTTTAAAATGCATTTGCTTTTTCTTTGACTTTAGAAATTATCATTGTATGCATTTCTTTTTTTTTTTTTTGAGATGGAGGTTCGCTCCTTACCCAGGCTGGAGTGCAATGGCGCGATCTCGGCTCACTGCAACCTCCGCCTCCTGGGTTCAGGCAATTCTCCTGCCTCAGCCTCCTGAGTAGCTGGGATTACAGGCACGCACCACCATGCCCAGCTAATTTTTTGTAATTTTTAGTAGAGACGGGGTTTCACCATGTTGACCAGGATGGTCTCGATCTGTTGACCTCGTGATCCGCCAGCCTCGGCCTCCCAAAGTGCTCGGATTACAGGCTTGAGCCACCACGCCCGGCCTGTATGCATTTCTTTATGCCTTTACAACTAGTGTTATTCATTCCCAGCTTTCCTTTTTCAGCTTTCTTGGTGAAGTTTAAATGTCATTACCTTGACTTCTGGGATGTTTGGAAATAGGCATATTTCCAAATATTGTATTATTTCTGCTCTTTAGCACATTTCATTCTTTTGATCTAGTCTGTTGTTTGATAGACTCTGGAAAGCAGAATAATGAGAATAATGCTTAACTACCTTTTTTCTTTTTTGCTTCTTGTTTGTTAAATTAATCTTTGTTAAGAGATTTCTGACATCATCAGCATCACATCATATGTTTCCTTTTAGCGGCATCTGGAGGTAGCAGAAATAGCAGCAGCCCACTGGCAGTAGTGTCTGTGAAGTCTCCGAATCAGAGTCTCCGTCTTGGCTTGTCCAGATTAGCACGAGTTAAACCTTTGCATCCGAATGCCACTAGCAGCTGAGTGTGGTACCAGAGGAATGTTTGGTTGAGAGAATTGCAGCTTTACAAGGGTGTTTATATTTAATTTGTGTTTATATTTGAGGCAGGTATTGTCATATAAAGGAATCCATTACCATGTCCTATAAATGATCTCTAGCTATTTTAAGTTTATGTTCTCTGTAAAGCTCTTCAAGCCTTCAGTGAGTTTTGTTTATAAGAACTGTCTTCTCATGCCTTTCCTTGTGAAGAGCATATTCTATTTTTCTATCAGTTCTACATGAAGGAAGTCCACATCACATGCTGTTCTTTTCTAGTTACATGATGTGCCTTTCTGGCTTTAGCTAGTTTATAGCACCTTAACTGTTCAGTTTTATGTGGCAGAGGAAACATTCTTATTTTTCAGAAGACATTTCTGAAATCTTATATGCTACTGAAGCTACCTTGTCAGTTTTATTGCAAAAGTTTTTTGTATTTTAGCCAAATCTTTTTATAGTATGAATTTGGAAATATTTTACACACTAAAATGGTTGTGGTTTTATGGCATGCATCTCCTATGTAGATGGTTATTCTATAGCAAATAGAATTTAAAGACATTTTATTAAATCTTCATTGTCAAAACCTTTAATAAAAGTGGATATATTTGAAATGCTCTTTTTCTTGATGCCACTGCATCCACCTGTTCCTGATTGTCCACATTTCATGATAAAATGAGAGCTCTGCAGAGAATGTTACCCTTTTTGTTGTAAATATGAACAAGGGAAAGCTGTTTCTTCAAGTAGTTACTTTTTGTTAAGTTCTTTAGAAAGCAGTTGTCAAGCACTTAGTCATCCCTATTGTGATATTAGATAATACAGCTTTTCAGGAAGCTTAGATTTGAATTTATGTTAAAAAACAATTTATGTTGAAAAACAATTATTTCATATTCATGGTGAAAATTTCAACTAGCTTCTGATCAATTTTTAATAAAAAATTTCAAATCATGTTAACTTAAAAAATATATAATACTTAACTCAGTTTTTCTTGGTTTATTGAAATGTCCATGTTAATGTGAAAACAATTAATTTAGAATTGTGATTAAAGTGAGCATTTGTCTACCGCTATTGTATACTTTTTTCTTATCTAGTGTATATTTTTATAGTATCATATACCAGCCCCCTAACCTGCCCCACCTGTCTCCTTTTTAGAAACATAATTTCCAGTTATGTAGCACTGAGGTTCTCTATTTGGTACAGATCAACAATAAACAAGAGCCTACTCTGTAGTAGGTACTGATATATTGAGTACCTAATACAGAGTATAGGTATATAATTGATTAATCATCTGGCACTAGCTTAATGACCTGTTTTGCTATGTTATTCATATTTATAGTTTATTTTTTTGAGGGGGGTGTTGAAAATTGCCTGATTTTAAAGTACGTTAAAATCAGCCTGGCTGAAGGCACTGATACCTTCAAGTTGCCAAACCCCATCTTACACACCCTGTGCATTAATTATACTCTGATGAAAACATTTCATTTCCTTGGCTCACATGAGACATTTCTTTGTCAATTTCTTCCCATCTCCATGCCTACTCTTCATTATTTTGAAGCTTTCTAATCTTCTGTCACCTGTAGCTACTTGTCTTACCAGTTTCACGTTCTATGAAAACTCCAGTGGTCACTTATGCAACAGTGACTGCTACATCAGGATCTTTACCCTACACCTTGCCCTTGACACAAAACCTGTGGATGGTCCACTGACGATTTGATGTACTGGATCAGTCATTGAATTCAGGCAGATCACGAGGTCAGGAGATAAAGACCATCCTGGCTAACACGGTGAAACCCCGCCTCTACTCAAAATACAAAAAAATTGGCTGGGCTTGGTGGCGGGCACCTGTAGTCTCAGCTACTCAGGAAGCTGAGGCAGGAGAATCGCTTTAAGCTGGGAGGCAGAAATTGCAGTTAGCGGGGATCACACCACTGTACTCCAGCCTGGGTGACACAGTGAGACTTCATCCCCTCCCCCCACAAAAAAATTCAACCTCTCCTACCCCTGACATCATCCCTACCGTGTTTTCTGTTGCTAAACGAATGGCCCTGCGATCACTGCAGGTGCCAAAGGTAATCCTGGGATTGAAACTTCTCTCCACCTTCACATCCAGTCACCAAATCTTACTCCATTTCCTAAATTTCTGAAAGCTAGCTTCCATGTGCACTCCCTTACTCTGAAACACCAATACTCACTGTTTCTAACAGGGCTCCTTGCCTTGATTCCTAACCTACTCGGGCCTGCCTTCCATTGTTACTACCATAGAGGGTTCTGTAAAATAAAGTCAGCGTGAACACCCATCTACAGTCCACACACACAAACCTTACCCTGGTCTAGTTCACAAGCTACTTCGTGTCTGGCTGGCCCCTTCCTGCTGTTTCACCCTTGTCGGCCCATGTACACCTTTGATCCCTGCCCCACTAAACTGGGTGCTGCCACAATGGTGCCATGCTTTTCCATGGCTCTGGCCTTCAGACTAGGACTTGCTTCCTTTACGTAGCTAACTGCTACCCGTCCGTGAAGAGTCAAATTCAACTCAGCTCTTTCAGAATGTCTTTTCTGCCTGGACCAGACTGTGTGCTCCTCTCCAGGTCAACCTACTGTCATTCAATTATAAATTTCCCTTTTCATGTCTTCCTACAACCTGGTGCAGAGTAAGCACTCAAAAAGTGTTCAGCTGATTAATGGATTTAACCTGGAACTTTTTCTCAAAAAAAAACTTCTAGATAGAGACGAGGGTGGTGGGCGGTGGGGCGGGGGGCGGTCTCACTACATTGGCCAGGCTATTCTTGAACTCCAGACCTCAAGTGATCTCCTGCCTGGAACTGCCGAAGCGCTGGGATTGCAGGTGTAAAACCACCGCGCAGGGCCAGAACTTTTGATGCAATTCTGATAACCACATGCTTTGTTTGAAGAAGGGAAGAGTAGGGATGATTTCAAGTGTCTGGTCTGGGCAACCAATATTAAGCTCTTTTAGCTGGGATTTTGTTCAATTCTTGCCCTGTATTTTAAAGAACTGGGGCAAGAGAGTGCGAGTAGGAGGATGAGAAATATGTTCTTTAGGCTGCTGCTCTGCAAGGTGGTTTGGGACTGGACCATAGCCTGAGGAAGCCCTTTCAGCTCCGGAGTCACAAAAGGGCGGATGCCGTTTCTATAGCGACGGGAGGGGCCGTGGCCGTGTCGCGCGCTCTGCCTCGCGCTCCCAGCCTCCCGCAGCGGTTGGCGGTCAGCGCCGGCCTCGGGCAGCTCCACTCGCCATCTACCCGCACCAGAATAAAAGGACCGCGGAGGCTCTTAATTCGCGAGCATTCCGGCAAGACTACGAGCCAGCTAGGGTCCGCTACGCTCTTCTAGGTGACAAAGCTGGGAGACGGGGTCGTGGGGAAGAACGAAAAGCGCGCGGAATGCAAGAGTAGACTGGGGAGTGTGGGTCAGAGAGAGCCCGGGGTGTGGTGCGCAGACTTGGAAAATACAGCTGCATCCTCGGAATCCAACATCAGTATACTTTTCTGTTAAGATGCCGATGCATCGCCGACTCCAGCTGAGTGCAGGACAGGGAGTGAGGGCTTCTGAGAAACTCATCACACCTACCCTGGAACTGTCCTTCCAGCCCTCACTGGGACGCCAGACTTTCTTCCTCCCTTTCTTTCTCTTATTTACTGCGTGTCCACTTGGTAGTCCTAAGTGTGCCCATGACCACAGGCCTCGCGTTGAGGCTCTGGCAGGCATTAACTGTGTTCCCACCCAGCCCATATGCCTGGGCACCTCTGCTCAACCAGAGCCCAGCGCCGGTCACAAAAGCACGCTAAGGTGTGTGGAGATCATACACCCAGAGCTGCCGCTCACAGGAGATTCCCAGTATTAGCAAATCTCTCCTTTAAAAACAGATGAACGATGCACAATTTGAGGGGTTCTGAAGGCTATTTTGTGACATTTGCTGCATTTGAAATGTTCAGCAGCTCCTCAGAGCTTAGGAAAATTGTGACCCCTCTGACATGTCTTAAGCAACTAACAGTATCACCAATATTTTGTTTGTTTGTTTTTTTGAGACAGAGTTTTGCTCTTTGCCCAGGCTGGAGTGCAATGGTGCAATCTCAGCTCACTACAATCTCCACCTCCTGGGTTCAAGCTATTCTCCTGTCTCACTCTCCTAAGTAGCTGGGATTACAGGCATGCACCACCACGCCTGGCTAATTTTTTTGTATCTTCAGTAGAGACGGGGTTTCTCCATTTTGGTCAGGCTGGTCTTGAACTCCCAACCTTAGGTGAACCACCCACCTCGACCTCCCAAAGTGCTGGAATTACAGGTGTGAGCAACCACACCGGGCCACCAATATTAATTCAAGCTTCACTGTCCAGGCTTCACTGTCTAGGCTTAAGTGGAGACTTGGCAAAAGCAGGAGGCCATTTAGGGGAAAAGTTCAAACAGCGGAAACAACAAATGGAAATACCTTTGGTCTTGCTTGAGCGATTGAATCACCTACACGTGGTTGGTATGTAAAACCTCGTAGTTCTAAGAAATTCTTCAAGCATGGGCTCTGGCTGATTGCTTCTATTTCTTACATCTATGGTTTCTCGTTTGTTTTGGTTCTTATGGAGAACGCAGAGATAAACCGGAAGGGAATCTCTAGCAGTATGCCAGCCACTCTTCCCTGACTTTGCCTTCTCCAGCTCCACATATTGTTTAGAACTCGGCTAGAATCCACACTTCTCAAGCATGTGGAGGACCCAGCACTGGGAACTAGTGGTTTTAGTTGACTCCAAGCCCATTGTGAGTGTGTCGTGAGAGCTCCCCAAAGAGCAGATGCTGGTGGGGGCTACAGTAATAGAAATGTGATGACCGCATCAGAGGATATGGTCTTGCTGCCCGACTTAGCAGTGATTGGAACATAATCCAGGCTCTGGAGACTGTAGCCACTTTGAGATCATAGAAAACTAGAAAATAAGAGCAACCACAAGGCAGGCTGTCTCTGTCAGGCCTGGATGTGCCATCATATGAAGACAGGTTTGAAAAAACTTCACAGAATGCCTGGAGATGAGGAGGTGCAGGGGAGGGAAGCAGTCGTTTTTCTATTCAGGTTTGGAACATGCAAGAACATGTAGGAAAGAGACAGATTTGTTCCTTTGTACTCTGCAGAGGACAGCAAGGATCAGTGGGGGAAATTTTGCTCAATATCATTTGTTTTTCTAAGAAATATTTATCAAGCACCAACCATATGTAAATTAACAGCTGAGTGTGAAGTGGGTTGCCTAGAAAAACAGTGCACTCTGTCACAGAAATATTCCAGCCTAGATAGAGTGATTGTCAGGGATGTCATAGGAAGGACTCTTCCCCTGGGTGGGAAAATGGATGAGATCGTCTCCAAAACCACTTCTAACTCCAGAGTCTGGGAGTCAGTGAACCTTCAAGAGTTTCAGGGATATATGCAAAGGGTCCAAGGAATTCTCTATGGCTGAAATGACTGTGACTTAAAATATAGTTAGATAGAAGAAATAAGACACAGTGTTCAATAAATCAGCAGAGTGACAATAGTAACCAATAATCTGTTGTATATTTCCAAATAACTAGTAGAGAACACTTGGAAGCCCTGGCTTGATGATATATTATATAAATGTATAAATATATACATCTATTAGGTATCAATTACAAATGAATATAACTGAATTTCATTAAATACATTATCTCCTGTTCACAGAATGCAAAGGGAATCCCTGCAAATCCTACATTGCCACACTTTCTGCCCCAAAGACAGCCCCTGGGCATAAAGATCAAGCTACTGCCAATTGTAGTAGAAATACTAAAATCATAACAGATAAATCTCAAAAGATTTGTTTCCTTCCTGGATATTGAAGTCCTTTATGCATAGATAATGTGTATGTATTAATATGAAAGCCTATGCACGGCAGTAAGGCTGGCACCTCTGTGATCTGTCTTGCCCTCGAGACTTCGAACTCTTTGAAAACAAGGATTCTGTTTTATTTATCTTTGAATCCTCCATGCTTAGCACAGTAGCTGGCACACAGTGGATGCTCTGAGATTTTTGATGAATTAATCTATTTTAGATTTCTCTTCCTTCCGCAAATTTGTACCCAGTTTTCAATAGACAAGTCACTGTCCTGACCCCAAAAGGAAATGTTAAGAAAGCAGGCTTACTATCTATGTTCCCAAAATACAATCATATGAGACAAAAATAGACATACACTTAAGATCATTAAGTTACACTAAAGCTCTTGACCAAGTGAAGAAATGAGTTAGGCAAAAGGCTGTTGAACACTCGAGGAAAGAGAGGAAGAGGAAGGGGAACACTGACCCGCACGTAAGATGAAAATGAGGATGGCCAAACTTTTGGTTTCAGTTCTCAAAGGAACATTCCCTCTAGCTCTGAGCTGAGTTTATTATCAATCTTCAATCTTTCATGCAGCAAGACACAAACGAAATATAAAAAGCATTTTAATTCTTTTCCACATAACTCACCACATATTTTGAGGATAAAAAGGGAGCATGTGCAAAGCTTTGAGCAAGGGTTAAATTGTACTGTTGGAAGCCAGATTTCGTGCACAAAAAAAAGAAAGGCACAAAATAGTTTAGTAATCACAGAATTATCCAAGGGATGGCAAAGTTGGAATAAGTCACAACAGATATTTTTTTTCAGTCTTGTCAGTATTTTTGTAGATTTAAAGAAATGTAGACCCGAAAAGGACTTTAGAAATCATCTGGTCCAGTCTCATCATTTTGCAGATGAGGAAACTGAGCACAGAGAGGATAAACGACTCATTCAAATTCATGGCACTGTGTGTTAGGGGGTTTTGAGACAAGACTCCATGATTCCACAGCATTTCCTTTAGGGCTTGCTCCTTCTCTACCTCCAGAGTTGTCAGAGCTGAACAGAGGAAAGGGCTCTAGTTGTTTGGAAGATTTCACATTTACTGTGTGTTTTTTTTTTTTTAAGATGGAGTCACACTCTGTTGTCCAGGCTGGAGGGTGGTGGTGTGATCTTGGCTCACTGCAACCTCTGCCTCCCAGGTTGAGATTCTCCTGTCTCAGCCTCCCGAGTAGCTGGGATTACAGGCGCATGCCACTGCACGCGGCTAACTTCCTTTGTATTTTTAGTAGAGGTGGGGTTTTGCCATGTTGGCCAGGCTGGTCTCAAATTCCTGACCTCAGGTGATCCACTCACCTCGGCCTCCCAAAGTGCTGGGATACAGGTGTGAGCCTCTGCGCCCTTTGCACATGTTCTTTCATAGTCTCCTACATCTCTGTGAAGTAAAGGAAGAGAACACTCCACACAGAGTCTTGACAGGAAAAACTATTGTATTCATTTTTGCCCAATATTGAGATTTTACAAATCCCATGTCCAGTTGATGGCCAAAATTCTACCTGTTCTGTCTCCCAAATCTTTCCCAAGTTCATACTTCTATACTCACTGTCACTGCCTTAATTGAGGCTCTCATTACCTCTTGTCTAGACACCCCAAATGCCTTCCTAGTTCCTCCAGATTGTGCTTCATGATGTTATGAGGGAGATGGTACCAGAATACAAATCTCATCTTAGCCCAGGCTTAGCGTAGCCACGTAGGCCCTAAGACTCCAACTTGGACCATGTGACCCTTTACAATCTAACCCACCTCCCTGGCCCTCCACCAGCAATGTCCAAGGAGAGTGCTCAGAATTTCTGGAAAAGACAATGTTCTTTCATGTCTATGTTCTTTGTGTGTCCTCCTCCATCTGCCCTTGACACCCCTGCCTGCCCCCCTCATTCTTCAGAGATGGTTCTGTCCCGCTTAAGCATGAAGGCTTCCTCAGCTCCCCCAGCTGACCGAGTCCACGCCTTGAAGCATGCTCTGTGAGCTGGTTGCACAAGCCTGCATTATTAATACATCGGTCACATGCAGCATCATGATCTACTTACTTCTATATAGCTCCTTTCCTGGATAAGGAGTTCTCTTTGAGGGCAGAGACCATGTCTGGTTCATCAGTGAAATTGTCTCAGCAAATGTTTATAGAAAGAAAGGAAAGGAAGGAAGAAGTGAAACTATGATCATAAGCAGAGAAGCTACTGGTAATTTTTGTTTGCTTTTGTGCAGGATATTTTCATATCGTATGTATGTGTGTGTGTGTTAAAATTAACATTCCCACTCACCTCCCCCAGCCCTACTTCTCAGAAGTCACTATTATAGTTCATTTCTTCCAGATTTTTCAGTATGGCCTTGTAAAGTCATGCTTGCATTTTGGTTTTTGTTAAATAAATATAGACTTATATTACACACATATTCTACTGTGTTTTGCTCAATACATTATAGGCACACTTAAAGATCTATCTTTGTAAATGACTGCATTATATTTCATAAAACATATGTGTGCCAAGTTTTTGAACTTTCCATTATGGACAGCTTCTGATTTTTCAATAGTTATGCTGCAGCAAATGCTAGCCTGACTTGTCCTCAGTCCTCTGAATACTTTCAAAGTAGTGGTGCCATCATCATTTACATAGTGTGTGCAAGAGCCTGCCAGTGGAGTGATTTGTAGAAGCTGTGATAACATTTGCATTGGTTCCCGTTCTGCTCGTTTCTTGTATTCTTGATTCCCTTAGCTCTTGGTTAAGGTTAGAGGCTGAAAAGGGACTTGTAAAGGGACACAGAGCAAGCAGTTTCAGCGGTGCTCTGCTAATGTAACAGGGAGTGGGGGTGTCCTGAGAGCCCTCCAAGACTCACCTTCCACTTACAGAAATTACTGTTACACTAGATTCCATAAATGTGTGCAATGTTTTTTTGTCTTGCAGTAAGTTAATTATTCATAGAACTGTGCTCTGAACAGAAAATGCAAACATGACCAAATGACGTTTAGAGAAAGTGTTTCCACCAACTGTCCCCCTTTTTTTTCTATAGGTGTTAAACTATCCAAATAGCCCACAGATATGCCCATCTTATAGGAGACTTATGTTTGTGGCAAAAGCATGAAATTTACTCTCCAGTGAACTAGAGGAAATGGGATTTTTCCCCCTTAGTTTCTTAAACCGCGAATCATTTGATTCTCTCCTCCTTTCCTGGCTTCTGTCTTTTGCTCTGACCTCCTGACCTCAAGTGGCCATGAGAAGTGAAGCAAGGGAGAAGCAGAGACCTTGCTCCTGCTTTTAGGCCTGTTGCCTTCTTTTCTTCAAACCTGCCTGCTGTCTTTGTCCCTGAGTGTGAGGGCCATTGCTTAGGTTTACTCCTCCTGCCAATTACTTTTTACTCCCCTTATTGCAGGACTCACATTGATGCTAAAAAGCCAAGGACATGCGATTTGACTTCATCCATGGGTTTGAAAGAAAAGTTAAAGTATGCTAAGGTAAGATCTTTGAATTTTCATTGGGAAAGTGAGATATTGCAAGGACGTAGGGACTCAGGATCCAGTGGGGGTGGTTGTACTCCAAGCACCTCTGGGGACAGTGCAAAGGGAAAGGTGTGGGGGATCACGCTGACTGGCAGGGCCAAATCTGGGGGTGGGTGTGGAAGGAAAATCAGCAGAAGGGCAAGACCTTAATCTGACACGTATTCCAGAAGACCGTGGGTGAGGGCATCCACGGTATCTTTTATTCTGCCCTATATAAGCGGGATCCTACCAGAAGTGTCCTGGAATAGTTCAAGAACATTTCGAGAAAAGATTTGCTTTTTTTTCCTAACACAGACATGGTGTCTTTCCCTTTACTCTGGCACAAAAACTAGTGCAGTGCCACTGCACTGAAGTTAAAGTTGTGATGGGATGACTTTGTGATAACCATCTATGGGATCAACTTCTAAATCAGGGGTATTTTTAAAATCCAGCAGCACTCAGTTTGAATTTCTTAGTTTGTTCAAAAGATCACATTGTTTGGGGTCTTTGTCCTGAAAGTTTTGCAGCAAACTTCAGCCCAAAGCACTCAGGTTTGACTTCTGAATCCTGCCTGCACCACTGATTGGGAGAAGCGGAGTTCGACAGCCTAGAAGGACTAGCAAAAACCGTCCTCGTATAAATCACATACACTTCCTGAAAATTAGGACTTTAGTTTCCTCTTCTAAGCGCTCTTCCTGATTTAACCCTAGTATTGTCCCTCTGGGGATTAGAACTCATCCAAATAGACCCTAAGGCTCTAGCCCGCTACTGGTACCACTGCCACATATAACAAAACACATTTATTTTGCAATTTACAGGTGCAATTTTGAATACTTAAAACAAACTTACTTTGATAAAATAAAAAGTACTGTAAAATAGTTGAAAAAATAAGCCTCCAGCAAAACATGATAATATAATAAAGATGGCATTCTTTTCAAGTGTTAAAATATGGTGCAAACAGAACAGTCTTGGTTATGATTTTATTTTAGCAAAATCATCATGAGGTTTGCAACTTGCACTTTTTTAAGCTGCTAGAGTGCACATTTATTGAATGCTGAGGTGACACATGTGCCTTAGCGGCAACTGCTATTATTATTCTCATTTTACAGAGGGGGAGATTGATATACAAGCAAGGCCAACTAGCTTATGGGTATAATGCCAGTGAGTGGAGGATGGAATTCAAACCCATCTTCTCTTTTAATTGCTATTTTTTAAATTTTTGAAAGTAGAGACAAGGGCCTTGCTGTGTTGCCCAGACTGGTCTTGAATTCCTGGGTTCAAGCAATCATCCCACTTTGATCTCCCAAACTGCTGGGATTACAGGTGTGAGTCGCCACACCCGACCAAATCCATATGCCTCTCTGTTGCATAATGACAGCTCTGTTAAATGTTTTTCTGTAAAGTTCCTTGTACATTACAATTAATTTTAAAGAAAGCAAACTCTATTGCAGTTACAATGATAGAAATTGTCAAAAATAAAGTAAGTCTGGGCATGATGATTCACACCTGTAATCTCAGCACTTTGGGAGGCTGAGGTAGGAGGATCACTTGAGCCCAGGAGTTTGACATCAGCCCGGATAACATAGCAAGACCCCGTCTCTGCAAATAGTAATGACAATAATAAATTAGCTGGGTGTGGTGGTGCACACCTGTAGTCCCAGCTACTTGGGAGGCTGAGGTAGTAGGATCACTTGAGCCCAGGAGGTTGAGGCTGCACTGAGCCGGGCTTGCACCACAGGCATCCAGCCTGGGCAACAGAAGAAAACTCTGTCCCAAAATAAATTAAAATAAAATAAAAATGCCATATTCAAAATTGATTTGCTCATGTTGTATTTTACAATAATTACTGGCAAATTTGCAGTATCATTTAAAAATACTCTTTAAACTTAAAACTACTGTCTTCGTATTGCTAGTCATTCTAATGGGTCTTAAATAAATCTTTTACTGTCTATTGGTTTTCCTCAGTGGACTTCTCATCCAATTGAATTTAATAGGGTTGAGTAAGGAAATGCAAACAAGTCAGTAACTGGTTTCTGCACATGAAGTCTTGGGTTTCAGTGGACAGTTACGATACTAACTGGAGAAAGAAAATGAATTGTATGAATCATAATCCCTTCATCTAAGAAAACGCTGAAGAGGGAGCTATGGATCTTACCATGTCTACTGCCCCAAGCAGGTGTTAAGAGGACAACTTAAATATTTAAATAAATGAATCATAATTTATGTTTTCACAGTATTTAAAGTTACAAATGATAAGTGTGATATTTATAATAACCAAGTATTCACATATTTTAATATGGATCTTGGTAACATTTCAGCCAAGGGAAATTTTTAAATGTGATTTCACTTGACTTTAAGACGATAGTGTAGCCCTCTCTCTAGTAATCTGGAGTTCTTTTCAGAATGCCCTATTCATTTGGCTAACACGAGGTAAAACCTTGATGCCAGTGGAGGTTCCCTATCCTTTTTGCTTAGCTGGCAAGGATCAAAGAACTCTCAGCCTCTCAGGAGGCTGGGAGCGGTGGCTCACGCCTGTAATCTCAGCACTTTGGGAGGGAGAGGCGGGTGGATCACCTGAGGTCCGGAGTTCGAGACCAACCTGACCAACATTGCGAAACCCTGTCTCTACTAAAAATACAAAATTAGCCGGACCTGGTGGCGTGCACCTATAATCCCAGCTACTCGGGAGGCTGAGGCAGGAGAATCTCTTGAACCCGGGAGGCGGAGTTGTGGTAAGCCAAGATCGGACTCTCAGGAAAATGCTCCGTGTTGTATTTATCCTAACTGCCGGCAGGGGGAACAGAGGTCTTTTGGTCCTCAGTCATCCCAACCAGTAGGCTGGAGGACTTCTGGCTTTTCTGCATGTCAGCGTTGCCTCAGCTGGTTTCCGGGACTTGAGAAGCTAGCTGAGCTCCAGGATCGCAGGTTAGGCTATGCCAGGAAGAGAACCTGGGAGAGAGTCCTAGGGAGGGAAGCTGTTAATTTAGGATATTACATTACAATCTCCCTGACAACCACAAGATGCTACAAAGTACATCCAGAATCATCCTGAAGACACATTTTCAGTTTCAGCATCAGAAGCACAGGTACTTTTTCTCGGTTAATTTCTTAGATCCTTTCACTTGCCGAATATCACCTCCTTAGAGAGGGTTTCCTTTCCCACCCTTTCTAATTACAAATCTGTTTGCTTCCTTGTTTATTGTCTGTCTTGCCCCCCAGAACTGCACTGTCCAATATGGTAGCCCTTGGCACATGGCCCTTGGCATGTCTCCTACTGGGGGCGTGCTGTGAGTGTCAGATGCACACCAGATTCCAGAGACTTGATGTGAAAACAATAAATATAAAATGACGCATTAGTAATTTTTTATAGTTGGGTTAATATTTTGTCTTATTTTATTGTATTTTATTTATATCATATTGCAGTTTATATTTTATCATATGCCAATTAATACCTCAATAAAGTTGTAAAATAATTTTATATTGTTTATATTTTAAGATAGTATTTTGAATATGTGTTAAATAAAACATATTATTACAATTAATTTCATCTGTTTCTTTTTACCTCTTTAATGTGGCTACCAGAAAATTTTAAATTATATGCATGACTCATATAATATTTCTGTTGGACATTGCTGCTCTAGAATGGACACTGCACAATGGCAAAGTTTTATTGGACTGGTTCAGTGCCAGACCCCCAGAACCTAGGTCAGTGCCTCGCACAGAATAGCACTTGATGTGTACTTGTGGAATAAAAACTAGGAGTGTGTTTATTCATTTGTTCCCCCTACAAATATCTACTGTCTACTCATTTCAGATGTAGTTCTGGGGGCTAGGGATGCAGTGGAGAACAAAACAGGCCATAAAACACTCATAAACTGTAAAATTGGGATTCTTTGTAGGAAGATCAGATGTTTTGATTAAATGCTGAGAATGGTAACAACTCACCTTTATTTTCCCTGGCAGTTAAAGAGTTGGAATTGAATAGACCAGAGATTCTTAGCCTTGGTTGTGTATTGGGAACACCCAGGGAAGTTTTAAAGACTACTGAAATCAGAATATTTGGGGGTCATGTACATTTTTTAAAAAGCTCTTTTCTATCACGTGGGGACAGGTGTCCATTTCATCATCAGCTCTAGACCTCAGTTAGGTCATTGTCTCTGACCCTTTGCTGTTTGTGAAACTGGAATAATTATTCCTGCATTCTCTGATTCCGGTGATATTAAATGAGGTAAGAGAATGTGAGCTCTCCGGCTGGCAAATGTTGGAAGCCCAATAAATATTGGTTGCTTTTACCTTTCCTCTGTCTCTTCATTTAACAGAAAGGGGCTTTCTGTAAGAGATGGGCTTATCAACGAGTGTCACACAGCGAAAGAGGGTATCTGAGAGCCATTCATTTTTTCATTTCCCTGTCTCATCAGCACTCCCTATACAAAAAGCAGGAACAAAACAAAACCCTAATCTGACCATTTGGTGTTGGGCAAAGGAATGGAAATCAGATGAAACTGAAGAGAGGGCAAGCAGCAGAAATGTTAATTGCTAGTTTTGTCTAGGTTCTTAAGGTGGAACACTATTATTTATGGTAATGCATTCACTTTTTTTTTTTTTTTTTTTTTGAGACAGAGTTTCGCTCTTTTACTTACCCAGGCTGGAGTGCAATGGCGCGATCTCGGCTCACCGCAACCTCCGCCTCCTGGGTTCAGGCAATTCTCCTGCCCCAGCCTCCCAAGTAGCTGGGATTACAGGCACGGCCACCATGCCCAGCTAATTTTTTGTATTTTTAGTAGAGACAGGGTTTCACTATGTTCACCAGGATGGTCTCGATCTCTTGACCTCGTGATCCACCCTCCTCGGCCTCCCAAAGTGCTGGGATTACAGGCTTGAGCCACCGCACCTGGCCTTCACTTTTTTTTTAAATTGAGATGGAGTCTCGCTCTGTTGCCCAGGCTGGAGTGCAGTGCCACGATCTAGGCTCACTGCAACCTCTGCCTCCTGGATTAAAGCTGATTCTTCTGCCTCAGCCTCTGGAGTAGCTGGGACTACAGGTGTGTGCCATCACACCCAGGTAATTTTTGTATGTTTAGTAGAGATGGGTTTCACCATATTGGCTAGGCTGTTCTCAAACTCCTGATCTTGTGATCCACCCTCCTTGGCCTCCCAAAGTGTTGGGATTATGGGAGTGAGCCACCGCGCCCAGCCTGCATTCAACTTTTAAATGCAAATGGAAGACTCAGACTAGAAGAACTTGTAATGATCATTACAAGTTAACATTAAAACATCTAAAATATAATCACAAGCAGCCAATCTAAAAAATCAGTGGCTCAATGAACATAGGCATACACTTGTATATAATATCTACATTTGGGATGAATTGGGGCCCTGAAGGAGAGTTTTACATACTCTTCCCCATTCTTCCCCAGGGCCCCATTCTTCCCGAGATCTACATGGGAAGTACCAGTTTCTTTGTTCTGCATTTTCATTGGTGCTTTGATTTCTAATAAAAGGAAGGAGAACAAAGATTTGAAATTACTTTTGGTTATGTCAAAGGAATGTGAAATGAGCAGGAATTGTTGGGGGGCACATGTCTTTTAGTACAAGAATTAATCAGAGCAATAGATACTTCTATTGAAAGCTTCTTCAGGCTATGACAAATAGAGTAGCAGTTCGACATTGGAGGTGAGAATAGAGATGTTCAGAATGCAATCCCTGCCTTTCCGTGTGTGTTATAGCAGTGTATGCTCGCTTCTTTCAACAATGTTGAGGTGGTCATCGCCTCCATTTGACAGAGAAGGAAACTGAGATCCAGAGATTTATATAGCAAGGTACCCAAAGTCGTTCTGGGAATAAAAGCTGAAATCAGGATTCAGATTTTATTCTGTAATTCATACTTCCTTTTCAAGAAATAATTCTCATGATTAAGTGTTGAGTATATGTGAAAGAATATTAAAGAGATACATGTAAGGTATAAAGAATGATACTGCAGTACCATGGCCACTTTTGTGTGGACCTAACACAAGATTTTACAAAAGCAGTCCCCTGTGTGTCCCTTCCCACTGCATCTTGTCCTGTTCATTGTCCCCTGAGATAACTATTCTGTTGAGTTCTTTATCTATTATTCCACTGATGATCTGTTTCTAAATCTTCTAAACTACGTATTGGCTAATTTTGCATGTTTTTGATTTTTACGTACATGGAATCATACTGTTACACGTTCTTCTGCAACTTGCTTTTTATGCTTAGTGCTAAGCCAGTGTATACTGGTATAACATTTGGCTGGCTTTCACTGGGATAGATCAGGCCTCTTCTGATTGATCATTACCTGTGCCCTGAGTATTTAAATACTATGAATAAGATGATGATCCTCTGTTCTAGGAACACTGGTTATCAATTCATTTAACTGCCGTGTTTCATTATACAGAAACACCACATTTTAAATCAGTTTTGTAATTAATGGACATTTTGTTTTTTCTTGTGTATTTGCTATTTATTTATTTTTTACTTTTTTTTTTTTTTTTTTTGAGATGGAGTCTCACTCTATCACTTAGGCTGGAGTGCAGTGGCGAGATCTGCAACCTCCACCCCAGGTTCAAGTGATTCTCCTGTCTCAGCCTCCCAAGTAGCTAGGATTACAGGCATCTGCCACCATGCCCAGCTAATTTTTGTTTTTTTGGTAGAGGCAGGGTTTCACTATTTTGGCCAGGCTGGTCTCCAGCTCCTGACTTCAAGTGATCTGCCCACCTTGGCCTCCCAAAGTGCTGGGATTGCAGGTGTGAGCCACCATGCCCAGCCGTGATTTTTTTTTTTTTTTTGACAAGAGTCTTGCTTTGTCTCCCAGGCTGGAGTATAGTGGTGCGATCTCAGCTTACTGCAGCCTTGCCTCCCGGGTTCAAGTTATTCTTGTGCCTCAGCCTCCCAAGTAGCTGTGATTACAGGTGTGCACCACCACGTGCAACTAACTTTTGTATTTTTAGTAGAAATGGAGTTTCTCCATGTTGGCCAGGCTGGTCTCTCAAACTCATGACCTCAAGTGATCCATCAGCCTTGGCCTCCCAAAGTGCTGGGTGAGCCACTGTGCCCGGCCATATTTGCTATTTAAAATCATGCAGCTATGAGCATTCTTGCTCATGTTTCTTAGTGCGTCTGTATAGACATTTCTAAGGTGTCTTCCCAGGAGGGAAACTGCTGGGTAACAGGATATGTGAATGCTTAACTTTACCAGATAATGACAAACTGTTTTCCAAAACACTGGTACCAATGTACCTTGTCAACAGCAGTGTGCACACAGTTCAGTCATTCCACATCCATTTTAGTACCTGATATTGTGTGACTTTTTAAGTTTGCCATTTACTAACAATAATTAATTTTGTTGTTGTTGTTTGTTTGTTTTCTGAGATAGAGTCTTGCTCTGTCACCCAGGCTGTAGTGCAATGGTGTGATCTTTGCAATTCTTCTGCCTCAGCCTCCCGAGTAGCAGGGACTACAGGCACATGCCACCATGCCTAGCTTTTTTTATATTTTTAGTAGAGAAGGAGTTTTACCATGTTGGCCAGGATGGTCTTGATCTCCTGCCTCGTGACCCACCCCCCTCAGCCTCCCAAAGTGCTAGCATTACAGGCATGAGCCACCACGCCTGGCCAATTTATTGCATTTTAACATGTATTTTGATGATGATTGTTAATGGGACTGAACCTTTCTTCATATATTTATTGGCCATTTGTGTTTCCTGTTCTTCGAAATGCCTTGTCATGCCTTTATTGTTTAAATATTTTTCTGTGGTGTTGTTTGCCCTTTTTATTGATTTGTAGAATATTTTACATATTCTGTCTACTAATCCTTCCTCAGTTGTATGTGCTACAAATACCTTCTCCTAGTTGTTGGCTTGTCTGTTTTTTACTTACTTAATTTTAAAGAGGAGTTTTAGGTTCCCAGAAAAATTGAGCAGAGAAGTACGCTTTCCATATACCCTATTCCTCTGTACAGTTTCTCCTATTATTAACATTTTACATTCATGTGTAGTTGGTGCAATTGATGGACCAAGATTGATACATTATTAACTGATGTTCATAGTCTACATCAGAGTTCCTCCTTT